GTCTCTTTCAACACCTTTTTTTTGGGGGGGGGGGGTTGCCTTCCACATCTTATACATGCAGCAGGGCTTGACATTAACTTTGATAACCACCTGTGATGTAGAACATATAAGGGTAAATTTTTACTTGCTCATATTTTAATAAATGCCTTGAATTTTGTGAAGGATTTTTTTATGGTAATCTAATTGGCAATGTTTTAAGAAATCTTATTTGATTTCTCTCCAATTTGAGTATTATTCTTTACAGAGGGTTATAGTTGTCACATTTTTCTGTGCAGGAGTTGGAAATAAAGTATAGGTGTACATGACAAATGTTAAACACCTGTTTTTGCTTTAGAATATACAGGGAAGTTAAATTCTATGAAAACCACTCCATGTTGTAGAATTATTTTCATACTGCTGTCTTTCTCTTGTTGTGTTTTTATTCTTTGGCTGGGGATCAATATCATCCTTCTGGTTGTTTTTCTATTTTCAGTCTGTATTTTATATCATCAATAGACTGTGATATTTTTATGTAATTCATAATGTCAATGGTATTTATTTTGACAGAATTACCATCAGCTTCTCCAGCTTAATAGTTATTTATTGGAATTCTTTGTATGAACAATAAGAGATAATATTCCAATTAATGCAAAAAGAACAGATTGTTCTCCAACATCTCTGGTTAAATGAATTATTGTAAGTCCATATCATGTAGCTGTTCTCGAGGAAACAGGTCTGCTCCTATAGCCTCTCCCATATCATGCAATATTTTATCATCATAGTTGTTAAAAACAATGTGCTAACTAAAAAAAAATATATACATTCAATTGTGAAAGTTTTCTAAAACTTAAAAGTTAAAGTTAACATTATTACAACATCCACACAAATGTAGTGTCATCATCTCAATCCACCTATTTAAGAGGCATGTATAAAAGACTTGTAAAAGTCTGTAATAATACTACTTACTCAGAAGCACCATATATCACAAGAAAAAAAAATAGTCATAATCTATACAATTCTCACAGTAAATACACTTATATAAAAATACTACAGTAAAATGTGGTATAAAAAGTTAATTTTAAAAACAAGGAAACTTCTGTGAGTTTACCTTTACTCTGGTGAAACTGCCATTTTGGCACTGAGATTTATTGAGCAAATAATACATCCAAAATTATATTTCAAACTAGACAACATAAAGTCTTTAAATTACCTTCCACAGTGGAAGTTTAATGTCATAAGTGTTTTGCAGTTAAACTAACTATTTGAAATCTTACGGGGCTGTTACCATCGGGTACTTGCCATCACATAGATTTAGGTTTTCACCATTTTTTACGAAGAACTATTTCATCAAAGCCATGTTTTCTTCCTTTCTTGGTGATTTTCACAATTTTCTAAATCCAAAGACAACATTCACTTTTCTGAACCATTACTTTAATCTCCTGCTTCAGGAAAAAAAGAACTCTTAGACAGATGGTGATTAGTGTTGTGACAAGTGCAGAATTAATTAAAAATAATTTGTAAAAATGAATCTTATTGTTTTGGTGGCAATCAAGTTACTTTAAAATAAGAATTTCCATCTTTTTTAATTGTACGTATATGACATGAGTATACAAGATATGACTATGATGAAATGTTTAAAATAAAATCAACACTGTAACTCTTTCTTGCTCCTATTTTCCCCTCTACATGCACTTATGGTGTGTATTGAGTATTATGGAAAAGCATGTTTTTTCTTGAGCTGTAGCACTACATAGTATAAAGATGTTTTATAGATATCCATATGAGCATACTTCAATCATATTTGTATACATACAAATAGTTATACATGCACATGGCTTATAGTATTGAAACATGTTTTACACAGTTTGATGTGCTATAGAGTATTAGTGTAATGCTGGAAGAATGCAGTGTATTTTGTATGTGTGTAGTCTATACAAGAGTATATCAGACTGTCATATTAACTCTTTGTATTCTTTGATGCTTAGTTGTCAGCAACTTTGCTGTAACAAACAGTTCACTTCAGTAAAAACAGCTGTGCAGAGTTACGTGTTTATTTTTATTTACCTGAAGTTGATTATCTCTTTACATGATTAAGCTTATTAGATGATGACCAAGTATAGTTAATATTATGATATAGTAATAGTGTTATTACCCCATTGAATGCAAGGTGTATAGGGAACTTTGTGATATATTTTACAAGATTCTAGAAAATTTATGGCAAACATAGTATATGATACAAAAACTATTCCTTAGAGAAAAATCAAATATGATTCTCTTTATTTGAATGTTTCTCCTGTCTTACAAAATCAGTGTTTTGTTTAATCCTTGGATTGTTTTCATTCTGTGAGCCCTGGAGCAGAGCAGAAGGTTTCATCAACACAGGATATATTAGATATAGAGTGTTTGACACATTGTTATACATTTTTCCTAACTTTCACTGGAACAAGAATTGAAACAGCTTTCAACTGAATTTTCTTAAATCTACCTAATATGTTTGAAAGTAGAAAAAGATAAACTAAAACAAATGAAGTGTGATATATGCTACTTACTGTATTTGTAAAAATTACTGATATGCTGTGTACTTTAATGGGAAACCTAAAATCTATGAATAAACAGATACTGTAATGTTAATAAAACCTCTGCTATCTTGATGTCAGATTTTTAAATTTGCAATATACGTATTTAGAATATACATATTGGGATTCTTTACAAGTACATTTTGGTGGTTAAGACGTATATATTTTTATTGTAGTTAAAGAGTTTTCGTTTCAGAACACCAACATACCAGGTACAATCCTTTGAAGGATGAGTGGATTCTTGTGTCTCCTCATCGAATGAAGAGACCATGGAAAGGTCAAGTAGAAAAACCATCAGAGAAAAAAGTGCAAGCTAAGGATTTAAATAATCCTTTGTGTCCCGGAGCTGTTAGAGGAAATGGAGAGGTGTGTGTGTGCTTAATTGTAGAATGCTGGTTTTAATTAACATTTTTTAATAGTTGTATAATTGTACTATAATATTTTGCATACATGTACATTATGACCCATCAAGTAACTGGCATTACTGATTTTCTTTTCTTGTAGGGTATGTTATCATATATACATTGGATTTCAAGAATCTTGTGTGAGGAGTTCAAAGTCATTGAATTTTATCTCTTCGGGCTATTAATACCATATTAAAGTACAAATGATGAACGTCTTTTTAAAAAATAATGTAAACATCTAAGTATCCACAATATTCAAAATAAAAAAAAGTTTCTTCAAAACAAATGTCAAAATGAAACTTGTGTTTGTAACATGAACAAATTCATTTACAAGTAATGTGAGAAATATATAAAACAATTACATGTTGAATTATTATTATTATTAGTAGTAGTAGTAGTAGCTATATAAGAACTTATCATTATGGATTAAACCAAGCAGAAAAAGGCTTAATAGTAACATTTAGTTTTAATAAAATCTTACAATACTGCCCTATGTCATGTATTAGAGGTTGCCATTTGAGTTGAAGTTTTAGTATTTGATTTAGAAAAGTTGCAGATGTGACATTTTGTTGTTTAAAAGATTTGTTGTCAACTTTCTCCTAATTTGAAATACAGTTTTAGTTTTCTAACTAAATACTCTTTTTAGCTTATCAGTCAGATTTTGTTTGATTGAAAAGTTTTCTATAATTTTTAATGTGATAATTTTAAGAATGTTTTTTCTTAGATTTTTACAATAATCGTGGGATTTGTATCAAATTAAGTAGTAAGTTAGAGGGGTTTCTTATGGTGATTTAATTTTCTACACCAAATGATCATGGAGACAAGATTAATGATTAGTTAATTGAGATAATGAACTAATAAGTGATGTTGGTATGTGGAAAATTTTAAAAAATACATTGTTGTTAGTTGAAGGTGGTGTGTTCTTAGAAGAAGGAAAAGAATAACAGGAAAAATCAAACCTAATTTTGCTCTTACTAAAGACATGAGGAAGAAAATCAGGGATAAACATTAAGTTTAAGTTGACAGATGGATAGAAGAGCTACAAAAGTTTAGAAAATCTAGGGATCTGGCTAAAATAGAAATTATAAAACCAAAACAGGCTTGTATATATGTGAAAGAGCTGGCTAATAATGTTAAAACAAAACATCCTAATGTTAAAAGTGGGATTAGGATGGCAATGACAAGGTCTGATGGAGACTGGAAGATTGATGAGGTTTTAAATATATTCTTTTTTTCTGTTTTATGTTAATTATCACTATTCCTGATCCTGGCCTATGAATGGAAATATTATCATTTAAGGATAAATTATAATCTCTGAAATTGTTTTCTCTTGAATAAAGAAGAGTTAGAGGGGATCTGATTGAAATGTTTAGGATTGTTAAGAGAACTGACAGTGTTAATGCATAATGTTTTTTTAGTATTTCATGGTGAGAATGGTAAGACTAGGGGGGGTGCAAATATAAATTTTGGCAGGAAATATATATATATTCAGTTTTCTAACAGAGTGGTTGGCCCTTGGATGTAGTTGATTTAAGGGAGTTTAAGGGAAAGCTTGATAAATATTGGAATCATGAGGGCCATCTTTGAAATTTTTTTTTTAATGATTTAGTCTAATTTAGTGTATAAGACAGCATAAATGGATCAAAAGGTCCATTGTTGTCCTCTAGTGTTATGTTATATTAATCTAATAATAATAAGTAAAAAGATGAATGAAAACAATTGTTTAGCCAGGGTTTTACAGGAGGTCGTAGTTCAGATACATAAGTATTTTTCATTTTTGGTAGGTCAACAGACAATAGGCTGGTACCTTGAGGATTGGAGAGTTGCTAATGTTACTCCTATTTTTAAGAGTTGTCCTGAAAATTTTAATAAGGCCAGTGAATCTTACTTCTATCCACAGTCAAACTATTGGACAAAAAGTCTCTTCAGCGAACCTTATAAAGTTTTAGCTGTAGACCACACATATTTGGAACTTCTGATTAAAGAGAGTCAATTTATTAAACAAAATCTTCCTAATTTCAGTAATAACTTCTGTTGGGTTAAGCTTGTTTCAGGTTTTTCTCATTAGATACATTTAAAACTTTCTTTAGCATGGGTGAATATCCAAGCTCACTGATTAGTTTTTATAATATTCCTCCTCTTTGAATCTGAACATTGCTGTTAGAAATTATTATTACAATACATAAGCTTCTATGTAACATTCAGGTTATTATTTGTAACTATATTTTTGCTGAAGATGGAATGTGTATATTCTGAAATAATCATTAAATATGTTGTTATTTGTCACTTCTGTGGTTGTATTGTTCTTCATTAGTCTTACTTCTCTAGTGAGAAAAATTCTATAGTCTTATAAAAGAAGCTTTACAAAATCATTTAGTGAAACAATTTATCATAAAATAAAGCCAACGTGGATTCACTAAATGAAAATCTTACCTTACTAAGCCGTTGACTTTATTTGAGGATGCTACTTGTTATGTGGATGATGAAAAGGGTTTGTATTTGGTGTACTTAAATTTTCAAAAGTCTTTTGAAGGATAGCTAAAATAATCATATCAATGGTAATTGGAGCAGAGCTACAGAAATATGCTCACAATGTCACTGAAATATTTAGTGAGCAAAAAAAAAAAATCCTCTCACAAATTGTACATTACTTTTACAAAAAAAAAAAGAGAAAAAGAAAATTTTAAATTCAAAAAATTATGATAAGCCTTGCCAAATATTTTGTTGTTTTTCAGAATTTGTAGTGCAAACTGGAAAGATTTAGACATTTTGGCAATAAAGTTAGAAAAAAACAACCTTTATTATTCAGATAGTAATAAAAAAACTATTTCTGCCAATGTGGTTTCATTAGGACTGGTAGTTTTGTACAATTTGTCTTGGTGAAGCCATAATGGTAAAACCTTGTAGTATTACCTACAAAAAATTGGGATGATAATCTCCAATTTTTCAGTAAACATTACAGTTGTTAACACACAATGGCTCCTTGGTGAAATGAATGTTTATTAAGGTCTTTCATACTATATATTGACCCCTCCATTTTTTTTTTAAAGTCAAGTGGAAATTTATTGTACTTGATATTAATTTAGCATATAAAAAATTTAAATGAGTAAAATACACAATACAGCGACATCATCTTTACTGGTACTACAATGGTTGATCTCTACTGCCAAAATATTTTAAACATGACAAACTCAATTTACAAAGATTAGATCTGTATGCAGTTTGATAAACCAGTTAAGGATATCGTTTAGAAACTAGTTTTTTTCTGTAAGCGTATGTATGTGAATGATATAATACATATTTTAACATTTGGTTAAACCAAAGCTTTGTTGTTGTTTTTTTTATATCAAGCAAGGGTATTTCTCCCCACCCTAGAAATTAATGGAGGCTAAAGAACCTGAAGGTTAAGGGTTTGTTCCCTGAAGATTTTGGTGATTTTTACAGATCTCCATGCGTGTATATACATAATTTTATGTTTCAATAAAATTTTGCATATTTTCCAAGCATGTTAATTTGTTTACTGTAAAGCTTTGCCTGGTTTTCAAATTTCCAGAAGGTTTGGAGTTTGTATCCCAAAGATATTGGACGTTCTACTACCATAAGTAGTTGATTGGATTTTAAGGTGGCTGGGTGAGAGAAAGCAAAAAGTTGTTATTAATGGAGTCCAGTCAAAATGGACTTTTGTGAGTCTTAGCCCTCAAGGGTCTTTATTTTCTTTACATTAATGATATTGATAGGGGATATAATTATAGTAAATTAGTAAAGTTTGCTGATGACATGAAACTCGTGGTATTTCTAGTTGTATTGAGGATGTTGAGGTGTTACAGTCTAACAGAATGATTTAGATCAATTAGTAAGTTGGACAGATACTTGACAAATTGCCTTTAATTATAGTAAGTGCAAGGTAATGCATTTGTGACTGAAGAAACAGTAGTAGGCAAGTCACTAAAGCCATCAAGGCAGTGCTCTGTTGCTAACAGTAAAGCTAATAGCATTTTTATAAACATATTGATTACATGTGAAAAGCTAATGATCCCTTTATACAGGTCACTGGTTTGGCTTCACTTGGAGTATTGTGTACATTTTAGATCAATGAAAGGATACTGATTATGGAAGTAGTTTAGAGAAGTCCTTCTTTGGTGAAGTGTTGTCTTATGTTAAAATCTGTTAACTGACTTGAGAAAAAAAGGGTGATTTTTTTTAATTTACAAGATTATTCAGGGGATTGATAGGATAAAGGCTTTGGATGTCTCTGTGCTATATCCTGAAAAGTAGGAGGAGAAGACATACGTTTAAAATGTAGAAAAGACAAGATCAGCTCCAGTTAAGACAGTTTTATGTTTCCAGAGTGAAATGATTTGACATCAGCAGTACTGGAGTCCAGCTCTTTAGGGAATTTAAAAGGGGGAATCGATAAATTCAAGAAAAATATAGGGTAGGTTTACAATTTTAATTTTACATTCCTTAGGGGTGGGTGTTTAAGGACAGCCTTGAAAGACCAAATGGTCCTTTGTTGTCTTTATGTTGTGTTAAGATACTTCTCAGTTTCTTCTAATACTTGCTGTGGGATAACAGCTAGCTAGAAAAGTAATTTTCTTCTTTACCTTTGAGTCTTAGATTTTTTTCTTGCTTTAGAGTTGTTCTTAATTTTTTATGTTTGAATGGGGAGGGTAATAAATAAGTAATTATACTGCTTTTGGTCACTTATTTTCTCTTCGTTTTTCTATTGTTTCTATCTTATACAGTTTATATCATTCTAAGTCAACCTTGAGCACATTTTAAACAGTACACATGTTACGTCTGCATTTCAATTCCTACTTGGTAGATGTTTTGTATTTTTTTGGGGTGTTATTGAGTTTTTTCATTGAATTGTTACCATTTTAGAGGTCAATGAGAACTTTAACACGTTCCAGTAAAAAAAGAAAATTTGAAAGACATTATGAAGCAACTAACCTGTCTTGATTAACATATTATGATGAATATGTTGTGTTGTTAAACTGCTGTTCTTTAACATCCTTGTGACAGACCACAAATTTGATGAATGCTCATATGATCAGTTATGTAGTGGAGCCAGAGCATATTGGAATGTCTTCTACACTTTTGTTTTGAGTGTGATCAAAATAAGTATATGTACTTGTGTTTCATGGTATTAAACTTGCATGTTTCAAATGATGTATTTGAAATTAATAGAATTTGTGTTTAAAATGATGTCTTAAAAATAAACGTATACACAAATAATGTATCTTTTATGATGTGGATATGCTCTATAAAGTACAGGTAGCTTGTGAATTGTGTCTTTGTGCTAGTTGATCATATAGACTTTATTGGTAAGTGGCTGGAGGTTATAAGTAAATCAAATGCCTGAAATACGTATATAATGCAAGGGGCTGGAAATTTATTTGGATTTAATTGGCACAAAATATTTTACAGCTGCAACACTGCATCTGATAAGTTAAGGTAATGTTAAGTATAATGAATTGTGAATCTCAGATGTGGAGATGCTATATGTATGTAGTTGGACATCTGCTTCTGGATCTGTCATTTTACTCTCATAGTATTTTGTACTTGGTAATGTTGCTATTGATAATCTTTGTCAATAACTTTGTTAAAATTGAATTGCACTGCTCTGTTGAAGAATTAACAGTCATACGTGTAAGAAAATAATATGTCCTTTATCTTTTTAGTTACTTGATATTTTTTGGTTGACCAATAATGTGGTAGAAATCATTTTAGTGTACCTAGTAGTTTCTTCGCTCATATGTTTCAGTAGATCAATCAAGTTTTATAATGTTCCATACATCTTTATGTTTATCTCTAGAACCACATCTGGATCGAGTAGTGTAAATTTCTCGCACAATGTTCAGTTGATCCTTGTTATGTATAATATTGTTGGACCTGTGGCTTGAAGTGTACAGAGTGTGTGAAATGCTTTCTTTACATGACGTGTTAATGCTTAGCCTTTTGTTTGTTGGATTTATAATTACTCAAATACTAATGGCGATAGTATTTTAACATGTTCATTTAGGATAAACCTTTATTTTATCATTATTAAACATTGATATGAGTCACATTTAAGCATATTATAATGTTCAAGGACTGGTCTGAAATCCTTTTTGTTTTTGTGATCTCTATGTTTGGATCACACAGAAATAAGTAATTGTGTGCTTTACTTATTTACAGTAAGTTTTTTGTAACTCCACTTTTAGTAAAATACATGGTCTGTCTATGTTATTCCACTGACATGAAACTACACAGTGATACCTGTTTTTGTTAATTCATATAATTACTGTAAATGAAACAATGAAATCACTCCTGTTGGATACTCCATCTACTAAGAGTATACTTGCCGTTCAGGCACTATTTTGAAAAGTGCTTTAGATATAACAGTAAATTAATTTTATTAGGTACATTTAAGACTAACAAGATCCTCCAGTATTTGTGTTATGGTTTGTAAACTTAAAACTCAAACATATACAACATTATATGGATGTACAATATTTAAAACATTTCAGATTGTAAGATTGTGCTGTTCTTACTTATAGTTTTGAAAACATGGATTTTATGTTTTAAACTTTTCTAATTATTACCATCACAGTATGTTTTTAACCAAAAACTAAGACTTGTATAAGTTTTCACCAAACCAGTAATAAATATAAAATACATTGTTCTGCAGTGAAAGAAAAAAATATAAAAACTATTGTGAATATAAATAACCAAATTTGAATGACACTACTTATATTTTGT